TTCCCCTTCGGGCATTCCCCCCCCCTCAAATCTCTTGGTTGAATCTCCGTCTCAGGTGAGTCACTCACCTTTCAACATTGAGTTTACATGTCACTTGTGCAAAAGTTTAATATATAGAAGTCTTTTCTTCCATCTGTAAAAACAATGTGCTTAAAATTTAGATTTCAAAGAGCCACGTGTTAGTAATTTGTGGTCACTTGTAATCCTTGGAGAAAGTTCCTAAAACCTTTCTATCAGTCATCTTATGATTATCTTCTAACATTTTAGTGGTCTAGTTTTTCCTCAGTATCCATGGGGGATTATTTCTAGCATCCCTCTCCCTACCGTTTAGATATCAAAATCCACAGATGCTCAAATCTTCTTATATGGAATGACATATGTGTGTATAACCTACACACATATTTCTAGGTACTTTAGGTCATCTCTATATTACTCATAATTCCTAATACAATATAAATGCTATAGAAAGTGATATTATTATGTAGGGAATAATGATAAGGAAAAACACCTGTGCATATTCAGTAGAGAACCAATTTGGTTTTTAATAATTTTCAGTCTGAGTTTGCAGAACTCAAGAATATGAAGGGTCAACTATATATTCTTTTCTACTCAAAATCTTTCTCTCCCAGCTTCAGTGGAATATTACTTGTGAATGTCTCTAGTTTCTCAAAGAGCCTTAATGAATGCTGAATAAACCAAACCTCAATGATAACTATCCATTTTATGGGGATTAATTCACTGAAGCAGACCAAGGACCATTTGGGAGCCTTACATATCAGTCATTAATGAAAAGCTTGTTTTTTAAAAGAGATGATTATGCATCTTTTGATGCATGATGCATATTTGCTTCCTTCTTCATGGACAAATTTCCATGGATTTTGACACTCTTGTAAGCTTGTATAATAATGGCCCTTTTTTTTTTTTTAAAGAGAGAGTGAGAGAGGAGAGAGAGATAGAGAGAGAATTTTTAATATTTATTTTTTAGTTCTCGGCAGACACAACATCTTTGTTGGTATGTGGTGCTGAGGATCGAACCCGGGCCACACGCATGCAAGGCGAGTGCGCTACCGCTTGAGCCAAATCCCTAGCCCCAATAATGGCCTTTATCTATAACAAGCTGTCTGTAAAGCCATGCCCACTATCACATATACTCCCCCCCATCTTTAAACAGTATTACCCAAACCATCATAACCCATCCAGGGCTATTCCCTATTCCCTCAAATCCAAGTTCCCAGAATTTTTTTGAGTAATGTTGGCTCCTATGTAGCTTGTTGTGCAGATTTCATCTGATGCAAACCAGACATGTGTACTTTCTATCCATATTTCCTGAAAGAGTTCTGTATTAGGGTTCTGCCAAGCAACATAACCAGGAAACAATGCATTTATATAAGAAGGGGTTTATTACAGTAGCTCACACCATCACAGGGGCTGTAAATTTCCACAATGGCCAGATGCAAGCTGAAGAGCCAGGGAAGACATAGTGGCTCAGTTCAGACAGCTGGAAGCCTTATCAGAGGCTAATGGCTGGAGAGACTCTGGGAGGGCCACTATTGTAAGTCCCTGAATCCAAAGACCAAAGAACCTGGAGATGTTCAAGGGTAGCAGCAGCATAAAATATGCCTGCTCTAGAAAGAAGAGTCACAGATAGATGATTGATGATAGACAGACAGACAGACAGATAGATAGATAATAGATAGATGGATGGATAGATGACACAATTTTCTGCATTCTTCCTTTCTGTTGCATCTGGGACCCCAGCCAATTGAATGGTGCTGCCCATGTTCAGGATGGTTCTTTCTCAGCTTCTAACCCACATCCCAATCTTCTCCACCCAAGACTTAATAATTCTATCAATTCTAGGTAGCTAGGTGAGATCAAACTTTGAGATCAAAAGAGAGTAGCTTCAACTAATAACAGAATGTGGAAGATTCTAACCCACCTGCAGATGGCTCTTAATTCGTCTGTTCTCTTGGGTCTCCACTCTGGGCTCCTGAACCCACAGATGGAGCTTCACTTTCACCCCATGGCAACCGAAATGCAAGACCCTACACTCCTCACCTGTTCCAACATAAGTACAAACTCACCAAGATTTAACTTGTTACCATGTTTAAGGAGGTTTATTCTGCAGCATGAGCAATCTTGTGGAATTTCTGGACTCCCTCCCTCTCATCTTTCATCAAACTTCACTCCTTTCATTCCTCTCTCCTCACTCCTAGGAGAAAATGAATGGCTCTCATCTTCTTAAGCAGTGTAGTTTAGTTCTTTTACATGACGTCCATGCTCAGCCGATATTCTAAATGTAGCATTTTCCAAAGTCAATTTGCTCTTTAAATTAAAAAGTAATCCTCTTATTATAGGTAGAATGCATATTTATTTATAATCTTCAGAAGAGAACAATGAAGGAAGTAATTCTTAATCAAATTCCACCAACCAGCAAGAGCTACATCAACATTTTGGTGAATCTAATTTGCTTCTTTCTATAAATGCTTTTCACACTCATGCACACAACATACAAATGACATCATATCAGAAATTATAAAGTTTTCCAACCTTTTCATATTAAGAATATTTTAAATGTTCTTACATGAACTAAGGTTAACAAACACACAGCATTTCATTAGATGAATGTTCTTGAACTTATTGAACTAATACTCTATAATTGTTTCTTATTCAGATTTTTCCAAGTTATGGTGCTATAAGCAATGAAAAATAATGATCCTACTATTATAAATTGTCACATACAAAGATATGTGGATGGTGCCCTTTTAGATTTAGACAGAAAAATCAGTGCATTTGGTCCACTATGGGAAAGAATAGACAATATAAAAATCAAGGAAGAATCAATATTTACAAATTGAGTATCTTTAATACAAAGTCAGGGAATGTAAAGAACCGTTTCTTTGAAGGGATTGTCCCAGAGCATTTTTTTTTCTTAGTAGAGCAAAGTATTAGATAGCATGATGGATTCACTGGCAGATTTTATTTGAAGCATGACAGCTAAACCGTCTATAGATATTCACTGCAAACCACTGGCAGAATTTTGCGATACGTGTTTTAATAAAACGAGAGATCAGATTCCCAGAAGCAATTCTTTTTCTTTTTTTAAGGGAAAGTGATCTCTACAATACTACAGCCAGTAGGGAATTCTCCATTTTAGAGAATCTAAGCACTGAAATCTCTGAGATTCTGAGCAATGAAAGAACTCTGTTATGTTTTAGGTCTATGGCAGAAGGACCCAAATACCTGTGTGAAGTCACTGATGAATAGTTTGCCAGTTATTTCAGAGACTGTTATCTAGAGTTTATGATAGTTAATTAATATATCTAAATATTATTATAGGAAAATTATATGTACACGAACATACATACATCATGAAAATGTGATGTATAAATCAATGTATATGTAAAATATATGTATCTATCCTCCTTCAATATGGGAAGATAAGAGACTATGATATAATATATGTGCATCTGTGGGTACATAAGTTTTTTTTGTATTAAAGAAGCATAACAAAGATTAATTATATATTAAAGTTTTAAAATACCTAGTTTTCACCAGGTTGGAGATAATTTTTAAAAATAATTTTATTCCAGTGAACTTTGATATTCTTCTAAGGATCTCTTCCAGATTTCAGACTCTACAACAAATGAAGTTCTACCCTTTATAATGATTTTGAAGAAACACAGAGACAAATTTTAAAACAGGGTTGAACATTATGGCTAGTATTGGTCTTTCCATCTTCCTTGGTTTTGATTTTCTATTTTTGTTTCATTATTACTTGAATACATCTTGTTTAAGCCACCTAAAATTTTTGTCAATAAAGATCTGTAAAAAGGACAGATTTTAGTTTTAATAACGTTAGTTAGAAAATATTAATTATTCCAAAAGACATTAGAACCAAAATTTATGTCATTACCCTTGGATAAGGGTAATATAATCTTGAGAATGGTAATATAATCTTAAGAAATATTTCAGTTATTAGCAATGTAATTTCAGTAGTCATTCAGTATGGTTTTCTCTAAAAGTAAAACAAAAGCAAACTAAGTTGTATATCATTCTACATTTTCAATAATTTGGATTTATTTTTGTTTTCAATTATTCCCTTTAAGTATCAATATGACAATGAAAAAAGTTAGTAAGCTTTAAATAAAAGGTGCTCCTCTTAACAGATTATCTGTTCTTTTCCAATGTATTTAGATAAAACAAAATTCATACTTACAAAGATTTGGAAACATAAACAGAAGAGTCAAAATTGTGATCCTAATAATTCTACCCTTAGCACCACCAGACCATCTTATGCGTAAGTATTGGTTGGCCTAATTGATCAATGCAATTACTCAGTTAATGATTATCCTCTTTCTACTGTCTTCAGAGGTAATTATAATAATAGCATAGTAACAAACATACAACACATGTATATTGACATAAAAGAAGAGGGTCATCAGTGAAGAATTAAAATAGCTAAATGTGATTAAACACCAAAGCTTCTTGAAGCACTTCCCTCTGTTGTAGAAGAAGGAAAAGAAACAGATTCTGAGCCTGGGATTCAGACCAGGTATAGTGAATAATGGATGCAGACTGGGAGCAGCCTTAATTCTCCACCCAATTCTGCTAACTTAGCCCTCGTCTAAATAAAGAAGTATTGAATGAATATCTCTAGTCATTTAGCTCTTAAAAGTATGGCTAATTTGTTCTGGGACACAGCTTTCCAATAGTTTGCCTACAAGTAGTTTCTGCTGCTTCTCACACAGACTATAACACACCTATTGATTTTTGTAAGCTTTGCAATTTCAATTTTTCTGTCTACCATCTCTTTCATGCTCTGGCTTAGAACTTATCTCACCTGCTGGGCATACTGCTGGTGGAAACATTTAATCTGAACTTCAGCCATTTTCCATCTGGACCTCAAAGAAGAAAAGAGTTTTTTGATCTCCGTTCATTTATTTACTGGAAAAAAAAAAGTTAACATGTTGCAGAATTAACCCAAATTATGTTGAAATAGCAAAACAGATTTTGACGAGGTACTTATCATGTTTTCGGACAAGGGTGCTTTTTGGTACGTATGCAAACTGGCTCCTTTGCAAATTGGCCTGGTGAATTTACAAAAATGAAGGAAAGATAATTAAGACAAGATTTTCTTTGAGCCTAAAGCAACATTTAATTTGAAATGGAAAACTTTGTATAGTTAAAAAATAATTGTGCCAGGCAGTTGAAGAAAATTGAAAAATAAATTTCAATACTGATCTAATCTCTGAATATTGGGGTAGGAAATAGCAATAGAAAAAATCTCCTAAAACTTTCATACACCAATAAAAATAGACTGATAAAATACCTTTGTAGGCAATATAACAGTGAATACATTTATTATATTCTGTCTAGAGGGCTGGGTAAAGAGATGGAAACATAGCAAGCAACTAATATGTAAATGAAAAAGGAAAAATAAATAACAGAAAATATACAGTAGACAGATGGAAGTGGTAAATACAAGGACACATTTGAACTTTTATAGACCCACAGTACAGACTGCCATTTGACATCATTCTGGCCAAGTTCATTAATTGATTGTAGGATCACTGTCTAAGATTGGCAAAGTACAGTAAAACTGCTCGAGGCTCAATTTTGCTGGGGGAATGAAATCATTTGGAAAAACAAAAGGATATTTGTAATACCCACCAAGCAGAGAAAGGATGTTTATACTTGGGATGAGTCTTCCCTCAGGTCACTCATTCTGGGGAAATAATCTAAATGGAAAAAAGGTGCATATCCAATGATTTCCATAGCATTTAAAAAATAATAAAAACCTATAAACAACTTAAGTTTTAGTAATGATGTCATATGCAGACATTTAAAATAGTTATGCTAAATAACATACATTAAAAGTGCTGCTGGCCAGGCACAGTGGCACACTTCTGTAATCCCAACAGCTCAGGAGGCTGAGACTGGACTCCAGTTCAAAACTAGACTCAGCAAAAGCAAGATGCTAAGCATCTCAGTGAGACCCATCTCTAAATAAAATACAAAATAGGGCTGGGGATGTGGCTCAGTAGTCAAGTGCCCCAGAGTTCAATCCCCAGTACCCCTCCACAAAAAAAAAAAAAAGTGCTGCTGATAATTTTAAGAAAAACCTTGATACAAATTTATATGTATGTTTGTATATGATTTCAAATATATATGTATAAACACATAGAACTATATAGCTACATATACATATATATCAATAAAATTTTAGGAATGGGAACAAAGTTGATTTAAATATTAAATGATAGAAAAATGAAAATTTTAAATTAAATATTAGTACAACAAATATTGTAATTTTCAGCATTATTCACAAAAAGCATTTATAAAATAAAGCTATTGATTTTTTCTCAAACTCACATTTTAAGAGGCAGAATAACAAGCATTTTTCTAAGTACCATAATTGCTGTGAGTTCTCAATGTTTTCTTTGTAATTGACATATCTGCCAAATTGCAAATAAGCCTATTTTCTGCTTTTGAATAATGACAATATGAGAAAAGTATTTTGCTAAAATTAAGATCCCATATGTTTCTTCCACCCAAATGACCTTGACTCCTTTCTGAAGGGTGCTAAGCTGTACAGGTGTAAAGGGCATGAAAACTTTTAACAAGTGCATGACCTTGATCTGTTTTATTTAATCTGGAGCCTTAGATTCCTAGTTTAAAAAATGGGAATAATATTCTAAGCTTTTTAATATTCTTGTAATGGTAAATGAGATATACATAATTCCATAAAATAAATTTAATTTTTTTTTGTTTTAAAGTAAAGTAAAAAAAAAATCAAAACAGAGAAGAGAAGTTTATAATTCCTCAGCCTGAATGGAAACTGACCTGGCTTTTAGTCCATGAATGTTCAAATTTCCTAAATGTGTGCCCCCTGTATATTTATCTGGTCTCATCTTATTAATCTGACTTATAAAATGAAGTTGATCTGTTTAACTTTATTGCTTTCAAAAAGTGAGAGTTGCAAAATCACATGCGTAATTATATTTTCTCCCACATTTCACCTTAACAGACTTTTTACATAAAAGGATTAGTTTGGGAGACTAGGAATATTTATCTCTAATCAGGATATACTGCAATCTCACATTAACAAATGGAGCATGACCCTTAAAATTCCAGATAGCTAGTGAAAAACTAAACAACAACCATTGCCTAGGTGTGGTTTAATTTTTATTTATTGGACACAAGTCTGCACCAACTCTCAGAGGTCTGCATGGACAATGGTGGAGATCCATGTGAGGGATCTCTGGTCACTTCTTGCAATCTCCTAATCCAATCAAAATTGACCAGACACTACAAATAATATACTTAATTTTCCAATTACATAAAAAAATTCTTCCAAATAGCCAGATCTTACCTTGGAAGACTCAGTAAGTTGAACTATTCTATACTGGGATTTGAAGACAGGCTGTTTTATCAGCTGTAAACACAGGATTGTTCTGAACTGAGAACAGGAGAAAACTGAAAGGAAAGCAAAATCCATTTTCATAAGAGAGTCATCAAACCTAGTAGTAAACACTCGAGCTCCACTTGAAAGTCAGGCTTTCTCTCCTCAGTGGAAAAAAACAAAGATTTGAAGGGGGATTGAAATGTAAAGGGAAATACAGAAAGCAGATTTAGTCCCTGAGAAAAAATAGCTGCTTTATTTACTAGCAGAGCGTGGACTCAATCAGATGCCAACTGCATGGGAATCAAGAAGGATAGGGTGGTCCATCAGAGCTGACCTGGGCATGGGAGTAGTCATGTGAATCATTCTTAAACCAGAGCCCCACAAAGGAAGTTGCTATATAATGCAGGGTACAGAGTAAAAGTTCACAGCTTAAAGGACATTCTCCATGTTGGTGACAATGAGATGGAAAAATGAGAGTGAGGAAAATGTGCCAAATAGAAGCAGAAAAGGGAAGATTTCATGCAATGTTCATGTACGTATCATGGATATTGGTAGTCTTGAGCAGAAGGCACATCACTAACAAGGTCTTTCAGAGTGCACAGTATTCATTTTTATGATTTCCTTTTTTTATAGCAGATATTACCTAATTAGGAAAAAAAGATTTTATTGCAGATTTTATTTTACTGTAAAAGTCAAAGCACTTTTAGGAAATGAACGCATCATTTTCCCAAAGGGCTTAGCTAAATGAGGATTTAAAAAAAATTATAACCAGTAAAAGCCCTCCCCTTTCCTGTGAATAATTAGGCAAAGAAAAATAAAGAAGTAATTTTCAGTTTGAAAAAAAAATTCCTATTTATGTAAATTAAATCTGAAGAACAGAACTTGTGAAACTGTTGAGTGCATTTTATGTGAGTCTCAACCCACATAGGAATAGCAGATTTGAACTTACACGGTATTTATTCATTCCATTTTTATTATCTTCTGTGCAATAGCACTGTGTTCTGTGTTACAGATTCAAGGTGGCTTTTCTATGTTATTCGACTCCCTACTTGAGTTATAAACTCACAAAAAAGGACAAAAAAATTAAAATCATATAGACAGCTTAATTATTCATAAAGCTGATTTTTGGTGAATCTATTTTTTAGAGAATATTTGCAATAATATTCTCTAAAAAATAATATTCTCTAAAAAATAAGTGGTTTTCCTAATAACAAACACTAGAATTAAATAAACCTATCCCCCCAATTGTAGGAAATGCTAAATTATTACAAAGCCTCCCTTCTATGATTTTGGGTGGAAGCTTTCCCTTTAAGATATTCAGTATGGAGGAGAAATACAAACCTTTAACTTCCTATATCCTCTGGATACTAATGGGAAGAAGGAGGGCTAGTGACACATGTTCTTTGTCTCTCTCCAAAACTGTCCATTCAGTGGAGTTATTCTTCCTGCCCAGAAGAACAGTGCTTGAGAATGTTTAGAAAATCCATGAGTGAAACACCAGTGGAGCTCTCTTGCAGGGAAGAAATGGGGGAGAAGCATTTAGTGTTTCTCCCTTCACTTACAGATTCTCCAAGCTCTGAAGTACATAGTTCTTCCCCTTCTCTTCAGCCAATTCTCCACATTTTGGGTCGGCTTTCTTCCAATTAGTATGCCTGTCTCATGACCAACAGACCATAAGGGATATATCCTAGGATACCCATCACTTAAGAATTTCCACCAAGGCTCCTGCCTCACATCACAGACCCCATGGAGAATATCAACTGGTTGTTTTTTAAGACACATCAAGTGTAGACCATAAGTCTTTCACAGAGATACTAATAAAGCAATATTAATAAAATATGAAGGTTGACAGAGAGGGAAAAAGAAAAATGGCAGGAGAGGTCTTAGATTCCTGTACAACTGTGAGAAAGTACCCTCAGGGCTTCTGGGACATCCTTGCTGCCAATGAAAAGCAGAAGGAATGGGCCCTCAATGTATGCCTGCCATGTTTGGTCATCTGCTGGGATCTTCCCAGGCTACTAAGTTGTGTTGTGAACTGATAAATACAATCAATAAAATTGTAAGTTATAGATTATAGATTAGTAAAAAAATATAGATTATACATATGAGATGGTGATAAGTGAGATAAGACAATTATAAAGCAAGAACTGTCATATTCAGGCCTAAGACTCCATTTTGCTGCCTTCTATAAAAAACTGTTACAGGAGCTGAATCTGAGAAAATGAAATTGAAACTGTTTTCTTATATAAAAAAAATGTTTTTCTGTACTTTGTACCCCCCAAATTATACCCTACTCAGGGTGCAGTGGTGGTCATGGTGAGCTATATCCTGGATTTGAGTGCACTCGTAGGTCTACATGACTTTGAAACAGATTCTTGCCCCTGCTCAAACTCAGAATACGCTTGTCTGGCACCTGCTTGAACCCTGAAATGTGGTTAACTGAATTGCAAAGCTAATTGCTTTTCTCTAGGTTCTGTACTTGCTTGCTTGCTAACTGGAAAATTCCAGTCCTGCTTAGAGTCCACAGGTCCTGCTAATTACTGTTTTAATTTCTGTGGTTGGCTTGCTTACACGACACTTGCTTACATGACATGGTTTTTGTTAATAAATTCTCAAGGAACAGACCAGGAAGCTGCTGTTCTCCCACAGAGACTCAATCTCTGTGGGTGGGTGACAGTCCATGGCCAGGTAATAAGGCTCTCTTTGATATGAATTTGGACTTAGAGTGTTTTCTAAAGAAGCTCCCCATAACACTAAGACCTCAACACAAATTTTACGATGTCTTCCAGAGAGCAGTAGTGGGGACTTTTCTGTCAGCTATGATCCCTGAAGCAAGACACTAGGGTATTGGGTTTTTATGGTCATCATACATAATATGATATTTCTGATTATTTCCTTTTTCTCGCAGAAGTGTAGTAAATACAGTTATATATTGGTGGAAAACTGACTCAGCCTTTTCATCTATAAATGTTCTTATTTCACCCTGGTGCTTTAAATTTATTCACTGAGCCTCAATACTATACTGACATATAATACTTCTCAGTACCCCCAAAAACACTTCATAGTTTTCTAGTTTGTATTTTGTAGTAAGAAGTCAGCTTTCAGTTTAATTCTGCACTTGAATGTAAATTATTTTCTATGTGCTTTTAAAATTATTGCCTTTGATATTCTGCTATTTCACTACAATGTGCCTAGAATAAATCTGATTTATTTTTTATTAATTGAGATGTGCTGGTTTTACTGAATCTGGTATTCATTTCTCATACTGAATCTAGAGGTTTTATTTTATTTTATTTTTTAATTTTTCTTCCACGCATGTCTGTTATCTCTTTCTGGAACTCAAATTAGTATTATATTCAATCTTTCTCCAGTTGTTCGGGAGGTACATGGTATAGAAATTGTTCAACCTGAAAAAGAACTGATTAAAAATTAGATGTTTCTAAAGATATCCTCCTACCTTGCCTAAGGAGGTGCTGAGAATTTTGTTCTTGGTGCTAGGAATATTTAAGCAGAGTTTGGGCTACTTGAAAAATGTTTTCTTGCTGATATTAAAAAATATCCAAGGTGAATTTATGGCATGATCTTTAAGTACCTTTAAATCTTGAAATTCTATTATTATTTTAATAAAATAATGTTCAAATAATTTTACTTCTAATGTCTCAAGTACTGTTAAATGTAGTACTTGAATCTAAATCTAAATCTAAATCTATTTGCAAAAAGGGACTTCCTCACAATTCTTTCAGAAATGTTAACATTAATTTAAACCATTCTAGACAGCTGACCTTGGTGTTCACTCAGCATGAATTAGTGTCGACATGAATAGTACAGTTACCTGTCAAAATTATTTTAGGTTCCTTCAGTATACCCGTGAAGCTTTAATCAAGTTAAAAGAGTGTTTTAAAGAAGCAAATCTTCTTTACCTATAGTCCTATATATTTTGTAACTTAAAAAAAATCTTTTATAAAAGGACTTTTTGTACTCTTGGAGAAGGCACCAAAGACCAAGAAAAAAAAAAAAGAAGACACAATGGTAATAATTGAAATTAACTGTTTGATTCATAATTACAAATAACAAAGATTTCTCCTGTCCAAAGGTTGTCTTCAGAAACTATTTCTACCACCACCATTTCCTGTGCCCCTTAGGCTCATTGTATTATTCATATCAGCTTACTTTTCCTTGTACTACAAACCATCTTCATTTTCATTTTCTTCTAAATCAAACCAAAAATTAATTAATTAATTATCTGGAGCATAGTAAGTGTTCAAGAAAAGCTAAAATTCAACTGTAACAGAGCTCTCATATAGTACAATTTTTAGGGGTGCTGCTCCCATTAGCATCCAGGTGAATGACACACCCCAAAGTTATGCAGTGCTCAGCACAACCCATGTGGCTATAGATAGTGGCCCTGTGCTTTCATAAGAAAAAGTGATTTCATTTTCTATCGAGATGAGAAAAATGTTTCCCCGGATTTAAAGAAAAAGAAATCCAGTACCTATTATTATAATATCTACTTTTAACTACTTCCCAATAACATTAATTATTAAAATGCATCTGTTCAAATCAAGTGTAATACTTATCAATATGTGTATGTGTGTATATTAATACATAATTTCCAAGACGTTAAAGCAACCAATCTCATGTAAATACAAAATAAACATTTCATTTATTTTATTTGACTCAGGAATTGTTGTAAACAGGTAAGATGTAGACTAATTCCAAATTCAATCTGAAGAATGTATGTACACATACATCTATACATCTACCAAAACAAATAAGATATTTTGTGCTAAACTGCTTAATTCACCTCTGGGCATATAAAATGTGATGTTTGTGGTTATCTTTCCTGCAGAGCAGAAATAATTCAAATCTCCACTGCACAAAACTCATATGAATCACTATGGACAAATATTAGTTGCATATTATCAATTCTTTACAAATTAATTTCTGACAACACTATAAAATGGCCCACCAACGTAAAATTGAATAAACGTGCATGCACATGTAAAAAGGGATACCCATTCATATCCTTTGCTTATTTTCAGGTCTGAAGTCAGAGAACTGTAAAAAAAAATTAGGAATGTGCAAATTATAAACATGATTAAAGCTATAAGCATCATAACATCCTGCAGCTATTTCTTCTATGAAGACGAAATGAAAGGTTAAACACGAAAAGGTTAAATTTGTTATTTACTTATATATTAATTTATCAATCAAGATCTAAGTGTAGTATTTATTCTTGAATAACGATTTTTCCTTAAATAGTCTTTCTGGATTAATACTCTGTATAGGCATATGTCTATGTGGGCACACACACATGCACATTTGTATATATTTTCCTTTTTGTATGGAAGAAAGATCAAATTAAATAGGTAAAAATCCTTTCCTACCAAAACCCATGTAACTCCAAATAAACTTATTGTCCACTAATTCCATCTGCTGTGACAATTTATATAATGATTTCAGAGTATGGTCTTATTTTATTTTGGACAGTTAAACAGTAAATTTATTTGCAGATTTCTCCATAATGATAAAACATTATCCATGATAGTATATCTCCTCCCTGACACCTGAGCTTAAATTTAATTCAAACTGTCTCAAAACGTTGATATTTTTGTAAGAAAAAGTATTCTCTGTACCTTCTCTTGTCACTTTCCCCATTCCTTGATCATATTTTAAATAACTGTTTGGCCTATGTTTTCTATAATGGGCACAATTACTACACCCTGCAATGTACATATGAGTCTCTCTCCTGTTCCGGTGGACTACAGAAGGCATCAGTGCATTCTAGCTGCTGTAACAAAAGAACTTAGATGGAGTAATTTGAAAATAATAGAGATGTATTGCTCACAGTTCTGGAGGCTGAGAAGTCCAAGATCAAGATGCCTATATACTCAGTGTATGGTCAGGAGATACTCCAGTGGCGCAATCGGTTAATGTGCGGTACTTATACAGCAGTGTATGGTCAGGACTCTGTGCTGCATTAGAGGGTACCTTCTGTGTCCTCATAGGGCAGAAGGGAAAGGACTAACAAGCTCCTCCAAACATTTTTATAGAAAAGATACTGATCCCATTCATGAAGTTCCTGCCTTATAACCTAATCATCTCCCAAAGAGCACAACCTTCTAATACCATCACCCTAGAGATTAGATATCAACACATGGATTTTGGGGAGCGAGGAACACAAATATTCGGACCATAGGGCCAACTACCTCCTTCAGCAAACTGGTCATCACCTTGGATTGTGGGGCCAGGTAGAAGAAAGTAAACTAACAAGTTGAAGATTGAGGTTTATGAAAAGAATATGTCCTGTTCAGTTCCCACTGGCTGAGTGTTCCCTCTGTATTTGACCAGGGTCAAGTGTTCCTATTATCCTTCAGGTGGAACGTGGCAGCTGCTATTTGTCCTGGCAATGTAGCTTTGCTTCTTTGAGTTCCTAGTGCCCATGAGAAGACTTTGTGGAGGAGAAATGACAGCTAAGTAACTCCATTCACACACCAAATAGTTGTTAATATTGATTCTTTCTGCAAAATGCATATGTTGGTATCAATAGTTGGACTTTTACATCATACAGCTGCTTGTTTGACAAAGAAGATAATGTTGCTTTCTTTAAACAAAAAGAATACGAATGGAAAGAGATTTTACAACTATGTTTTTCTCTCTGCCCACACAAACAAAAAGTATCATCAAAGTTAAAACTTAAATGTGGGAAAGAAGAAAAGAAAGAAAAGAAAAGTGACTGAGAAGACAGTTCTTGGATTTCTATGATGTGTCAGGAGCTCTGGCACAGCATATTGTGAGATAGATTCTGACTCAGTTCATCACCTTCTATTGCTCACTGTCTTGATAACCTTAGATCAATTATATAACCTTTCTGCTCTTTGTTTTCTCATCCGAAAAAAATGGAAATGATAATGATTGCTGACTGGATTAGGTAACCTACTCTATATAAAGCACATTGTAAGAAACGTGATTTTGTATTATCACCTTCAATTTTTGAAATCACCTTCTGAAAACCACTGAGTATTTCAATGAGAAAAAGTAATCAACATGAAAGACTACATCTAAATTAACACTTGGCTTCTTACTGTAATGCAAGATGAAAATTTGTGTGCATATTTTATATTTGTTACAAATGAAATAAAGGGTTTGTCCTAATTTGGAAGCAATCAAAAGGAAGCAAACATTAGTCTCTAAACATTTTGTTTATCTGTTTTTACCAAGACAACACTAATAGTATAGTAAAGAGAAGTAACATACTAAAATGACTTTCTCTATTTTTAAGAAAGACTGACAAGAAGAGATGTTTTACTTGAAGGAAAGTTAAATTCCTTTTTCTAAGTTCTCTTTTGTATTGTGATTCCTACGTACCTTTTCAAATTACTATCATGGATCGTGACATATCTCCATTTTCTGAGAAAATAACACTACTTGCTCTTTTCCCACACATGTCTTATTATTTCTTGTCTCTGTGATACATGTCACAGGATTGCACCAACCTTGAAAAGCTTTTCTTCTGTCTCTGAATTATCAGAATCTTCCTTGTAGGTCACAGAATGCAAACATTTCCAAGAAGACTTGACTGAGTCTCTCAAACAAATGTAATCTCCTCCTCCTCTAAACAGACTTCAGAATTGATCTGGATGGCAGTTCTAAGACTTTTCATAGTATACCTTTTGTGGTCAAGAGAAAGAATTGCCATTAGGAAGCCACACTGAATCTGACAGTGTTATTTAGTGTATGTGGTTATGTCTGGGGAATCGCTGACTCCATTAAGCCTGACAAACACTTAAATCTCCAAGGAGAACATTTCTTCTAAGAGAAAAAGGTACTGGGCATAATGAGGCTTTATTTTGCAGAAAGCAGTGAGCATTGCTTGATGTTGTTCCCTTGAATTTGGTATTGGATGTGTCTCTGCCCAAGATGTTTAAGAGAAACACTGGAGAGGAGGTTGTTAGTTAAAATGAGAAGATGCTTCACTAAAACTCTACAGGAGGTTGGAATATACATGACATGCTTTGGAATCTTAATCACAGTGCATTAGACAAAAATGGCCTTTTCCCTCATTATGCTTCAGAACAAGAAGTCTTCGTAGCTATGGTGCAGCTACATGGTGCCTGACAGGAATCTAAGAATCTGCCTAAATGTCCCACAAGCAAGGACGGTGATACCTGGAGATGCCCACTCAAAGAAGCTGTGGACCTTCGTAAAACCTCTCAGCACAGAGAATGTAGTACAACCCAGCGAAATGGGCAGAGATGACCCCCAAAACCCCGTTACCTGGAGGAAGCCGTAGTTACAACAGAGGGGACAGCAGTGCAAATGGAAGTGTCCAGCACCTATTAGATGTGGGTACATTTCTGATGAATCCTAAAAATATTTGGTGGTGAAGGATTCCATAGAGGGTGAGGTACTAACCTAGAAAAGAAAATGCTAGCAAATGTGATTTATAAAATAAAAGTAATAATAAAAGTAATAGTACTATACAAATCTTCTCTCTCCTACTAGGGGTATTAAAAACAAACTACATGGGTTATTAACCCCTGTAATAGCTAGTATAGTATTATTTTGTAAGCGACAATGTTCATAAAAATTTGAGCCTTGACTGAATGAAAATGAAGCAATATATAAGCAATGGGATTAGTAGTTTTCATGACAATAAAGGTGCCTGCTATGATCTGGATAAGTGTCCCCAAAGGTCCCTATGCTAAAGGCTCAACTCCTAGCTGGCTCTAATGGGAGGTGCTGTGGACCTTTAGGAGATGGGGCCTTATGGGAGGTTCAGAGGACATTAAAGGTATAAACTTGAAAGAATTGGGGGACTTTGTCCTCTTCCTCTTCTTCTCTCTCTTTTGCTTCTTGGCTAGAAAGTGGGCAGTTTGCTCCGCCATGTACCCCATACCAGTGCTATCTGGCCTACCTACCAGACAGCCCAAATCAAGGGTAAACATTTGTTCTTTATAAGTTAACTATCTTAGGTGTTTCAGGAACTTAGAGAAAGCCAACACACTGCTTTAGATATTTCAGTGTGTACAAATAACCGAGGAGGAAATTTATTAGGCATTGAGAGACACAATAAATTATTAGACTATTTGAAAACAATACAATTTACTTAAAAAGAAGACAACCCACAAGGAAATTAGAGTCAAGCAAACTAAATATCTTAGACTATTTTTATACAAGTATCTTTGTCATTGACCATAAATTTCACCCAATTTTCAATATATCAATAATTTAGGAAACACATGCTTCATATTTTGACATGAATTAAAGCAAATTTGAAAATTATTTTATAGTTATTTATCATTTATCAAATAATAAATAAATAATAATTGTTTTATGTAATTCCCCTCCAACTTGTCCAAAGTTCTACTTTCTATGGTTTTTAATTACCTGTTTTCAATCTCAGTCCAAAACACTAAATGAAACATTTTTTAAAAAAATAAACAACTCATTAGTTTAAAATTGTACATCATTCCGAGCAAAATGATGAAATCTCTCACCTTCCAGCTCCATCCAGCCCAAGACATGAATCATCCTTTGGCCTTTATGATTCTGAAAAAAAATTAACTACCCTTAATGTCTTGATATATGCATGAAAAAAATCAAGAATTATAAATTAATATAGATTAATTGAATTATCCAATAAGTTTCTCAAGAAAATTTAATAATTTGACATTTTTCTAAATGCTTGCCTTATAATACATCCAAATATACTAAATGTGTATTTTAGTTGAAATTTAAAAATGAATCCAGTGAACCTTTTTCAGCTAATATATAATTACAAAATAACTTATAGACATGTGAACAATGATATTTTTAAAAGTTGGGATGTCTGAATACAATGCTATAAAAAACTTTTGCATTGGAAACATTATAAATGAGACTAAAAGCAAAGTCAAGTTGAGAACCAGGCCATATCAGCAAAGAACTCAATATGCAGTTACTGACCTTGAAAGTAGAAGAAGGGGGCACAAGTCAAGGAGAGAAGGAGGCCTGGAAGCTGAAAAAGAGAAGGAAAATGATTCTCTTCTAAAACCTCCCAAAGAAATACAGTCCAGTCACCACCTTTGGACCAGTGAGATCTACCTGGAACTTCTGCTGTACAAAGAAGACAATAAACATCCTGTGTTAAGCCATTAAATTTGTGGTAATTTGTTATACTTCCAATAGAAAACCTATATACCAAATATAACTGAATGAATTTGACTATTTTTATTTCAAATTAATATTTCCCAAAGGTAAAATGTACTTATTCTAAAAAAGAGAGAGTATAGAAACATAAGAATCTTCTCCTATTTCTGACACAAATAGAATTGGAGTCTCTCTGAATCCTGGATTCAGTAAGACATCATGTGAGTCTATTTGAAGGTGTCTGTCATTAATGATAATTTAAAGAAGGTTTTATACACTGGGCAGGTCACTATGAAGAAGAACTGAGAAACAAATCTACTCTCTGGATACTCAAAATCCTTGTATGTCTATTTAAATATTAAATTAAGCCATTATTTTCTGTATAGTTATCTTTTAATTGCACCTTTTGGAGTACCTCAGCAGGAGAGACATAATTATAAGGTGTGATATGAGCAATTTCATTTTCTTTCTATTTATTCAGTGACTAAGAATGGTTGAAAATTGTCCTCTTATTTTCTCTGGTAGAGTATTCAGATATTTAGTCTGATTTGAATAAGACTGCAGAAGGGTTTCTGAGCAATTACTTTGCTCACACATAGAAACTACAGCCCTCATTAAAATATAATCATCAAGTTCTATTTTATACAAGAATGGAAACATACAATGCATTTATTGTCAATTTATAAGGGGAAATAAGGGGATATTTGTGGGTGAAAACCCACATCCTTAGGAGCAAATTACTGATGCCTTCTAAATCAACAGCATCCTAACAGCTATCCAAGTCTATGAAAAAGTTTAGATTGACCAGACTGGAGTGACTCAGGCTGACTTTCAAAACAACAGACCCATTTGCCTGCATACGTAGGCATATGAATTCTTGGAAAAGAAAACTATGCTTTTTTGAGCATCATTAACGAAGGTAATAGATAATAAATGTGGTCCATTTTATTCGCTGAAGTTCACCAATACAGCTCATTGCTTATGTACTTCACATGGGAAGCTAAATGATCCTGCAGAACTTCTAGAGTCATGGTGAAAGAGGACAAGCACCTAACCATTCCTATATCTTTGTTGTCAAAAAAGAATAGGTTCTTACTGTATCCCTCAGTTATTTAAAACAATAGGCAACTTCACAAACATGTAACTGTAATTTTGTCAAATTTAACTTTTTGATTTGAAGACTTCATCTTATTGAACATCAGTGAATATGTACTTAAGTGTATGTACATATATACACATTCACAAATGTGAATATCATATTTGTACAAACTCCAGCATACCATACCCCCTGACACACACAGATTTGATAATTAGGGTTAATTGTAAAAAGAAATATTGGAAGACAAAATTTATTCTAGTCAATAAAATACTATCTTTTGCAGAGTAAGAATATCATGCAGTGAAATGGTCTTACCCTATAAAAAGAAATCTAAGACTGAAAAATGTTATGAAACCAAACTGTAGAAAATTGTAACAAACTCAGTACTTCACGTGTTTACCCTGTTCTTAACCCCTTTTGCTTTATTTTCACTCTGCAAATAACATATATTATGCATGAATTTTATAGACTATAATGGTTAAAGTTTTAATGGCACAAAATCAAAATCTTTTAGAAACAATGTTGATATGTTTATAAAATAGATATGTAGACATATGTAAAAATTTAGAGTCTAGAAACTCATGTTCACACACTTGTCTTAGCTAATCGATGCAAGGACTTATGCACATATCGAGTAATATAACTAGGAAAGAATTATGTTTTAAACCCCATGGTTTAAAACTAATTATAATTAACTTGCTAGAATCTAATATAGCATTTTGCTTCTGTTTCCTCACTGATAAAATGTACTCAAAATCACAGAGCTTTAATAAGACAAAAATCAGAACAATTAATTATAAACAGTTTCAGACTTTATCCTCTTTCTGCCTCCTAAGAGGAGTCTGCCTTTGCCTAGCATCACTTCCTTTTGTTTCCTAACTTTCGTGAAAAGTATTGCCAGTAGTTATAAGTGTTGAAAAATAGAATTTGTAATACAAGGATAACACTTCCTGAGAGCAGGCTTAGCAGGCCCTCCATTCTCCCCTGGCTCAGTTTAAATTCCATGATCCATCACCCTTAATTCCCTAATCTCTCCTTTATTGTATTGGCCTGGCCAAACCGAACTCTAATTAATCCAATCTTTGTCAATTCCCCCACCCCCCAGCAGGTAACTGTGGATGAAAAAAACATATAGTCTCATTAATCTGCCTTTTTATTGTTTATAATACATCTTCCCTTGGGCTTCAACATTGCCCTTCAACCATTTATTTTTAGTCAGTAAACTCTTCAGCTCTCAGACCCTCTGCTTACCAGTTTTCAGAATCCAACAAATAGATAAAAATTGACTCTATTAATTGAACTGAAGAAGTTGCCATCTGTCTATTCAACCACTGGTTTGCCTGTGGACATATGGGTAAGGAAATAAATTGTGAGTAGGAGTTTATTATGAAATATGGACTGGAACATCTATAGAGCTGAACTCAGTATGCACAATGTTAATTCTCTAAATTGTACATTTACCTCCCGTTTGTTGTAAAGTATTCTTTATCATGTAGGAGTCAACTGGAGAACCTCAATTATTTCCTTAACCTCTAGAATGTGGAGGATTTTAATAATTATCCGTACAGGCTACTGACTTGCCTTAACTTAACCCTAAAAGATACCTGAAGAGAATTTCAGTAGCAGTGTACTTCATTATGTTCTGTTTTGGAGCTCTGCAGCATAAAGAACTAGGAATAAATATTGTAAAGATTGTTTTTAATTAGGTACAAGACAATGAAGAACCAAAGAACTAGCCAAAGCCATTTGTAATAGTCAAGTCAGCAATTTAAGAAACAAAGGTTCTATACCAAAATGACTAAGCCAAATCTCTTATTTGAATTAACTCAACATCTCTATTACAGAAAAACCTCTGCTAGTAATGCTAAACATCTTTATTAATACAGGAAACTGGATTACTTGGCTTGTGGGTTTCCGTCCACTGGTTGCTCTGTGTGATTTGGCCAATACACTATCTAGTGAGGAAGTCTGCCCTTTCTTCCTTCCGCTATTTTGACTAAGAAAATGAATTTCCCAGGAAGATAAGTACAGCTCTTTTTGTTTGTTTGTTTATTTGTTCAGCTATGTAATATAGATAATTGTTTCCTCAGTCCTAATCCCTAAATACTCCAAAGTAACCAACAAACTTTGCACTGCAGTGAGATTTGAATATTGAAAGAATACTTGCCAGAGAATGCAATTCCAAATGAAGTCATATCAAACCAGAATAATTTGTGTAATAAAAGAAAGAGCCATATTGAAACATTCTGATTTATATTAATTTAACTTTTTCTTGAAAGGAGAAAGAAAAATAAGAACCTGTCCAAATCAACAGCTAGATGCTACTTCTCTGGACATAAACACAGTTTGACAAATGTTCTACCTTCAAGAAAGCATCCTGTGCTGAGCTTTTCACAGCAATGGAAATAAGCTTGCACATTTGCATCCATACTCATCTACAGCACTGTGTACCCACAGACAATATCACACTATTTTGATTGATGCTTCCATTAGAATGGTTCAGGCTGTCCTTTGTGTTCTCATTCTTACCTAGACAAATAATTGATTTCTTTAGATACTGAAAAACGCAGAGAATATACAATGAAATCCTCTTTATACTACAATTATATGATTTTACAGGCATGCTGGATATTTTTGCAAAGGTTTCCCTATCTTGGTATGCACAGGAAGGTGGGGCAGGTGGCAGGGATTGAGGAACAATGTAGGTACTGTGTTTCACACATGTGAAAGCAGTCTGTTCCTTGGAATCTTGGCCTTGCCTATGCTCTCTACTAGAAAACTTTCCCTCAAAATATGCCTGGCTCATTCCCTGCTTCTCTCCAAGCCCTTGCTAAAACCTCATTTCCCCACAAAGACCATCACTGATCATCCTATCTAAAATCTATGCCACATCACATTCTTCTCCATCCTTTCTTTATGATACTTCATAGGCTTCATCACCATGTGGCTATTCCTTTTCTTTTGCTTCCTAATTACCAGCCTAATTATACATACATACACACGTGTGCGACACACACACACACACACACACACACACACACACACACACACACACACACTACAATGCAGGTTTCATGAGCGTCTGGACCTTTTCTTTTTTCTTGCTTGCTGTGTCAGTACACAAAACAGAGCCTGGTCAGCAATTGCTGAATACACGAATAAATTTCTTATCTTTCCCCAAGTCATATTAAATCAGATCTTGATATGAGCAAATAAGGTACACTTTGGTAGACAATGGAGATAGAAAAGGCAAGGGTGATAGAAAATTCTTGTGAGTAGTTTTTGTAGAAAAGGAAGGAAAGAGTAGAATCTTAAGGAGGGAGAAAAAATTGTTGTTTTTAAGATAAGAAAAATAGCATGCTGTTTTCTGCTGTAGTTTATTTCCCAGAGGCCAAATGCAGAAAAGATTTTTTTATGCAATTAAAATATTTATATAAAGGCAGCATTCATTTATTCACATTGCAAGTATTTCTTAACAGGAAGTACATTAATGTGTACCTCCTGAGTTCACACATTCCTTTGTACAAGGCGGCATTGATTTTCAACATATCAGAGGAGGAGGAGCTTAACATTGATGAGAAATCAATTTATTTAGCCAGCTGTATTTTATTAAAATCGAGTGAAAATGAGTATACTGAGCCAAAAGCCTCTAGAGCACTCAGAGTTTTCTCCTTGACTTAACTCTCCTTAAAACTGTTCTATAGCAGAAATGGAATGCTCCCTAGTACTTGGATTATGATAATGTCAATTTTTAAAATATTGGTTAAAGT